CTTCCTGTCATAAATTCTCAAAAAAAGTGGATGACAATTTTTTACCCTGTCGGAAATAAGATCCGTTAAAGTTAATCTGATCGCTGCTCTTGAAAAAGACCTCCAATCTGTGGTTAACTGGGGCAAGAAGTAACTGGTAAATACGTCCAAAACAAAACTGTTCTCATTTAACCACCATATAGAAACCGTTCTGCCTGCCATCAGCATGGCTGATACTAGACTCCTAGAGAGCAACACATTTCGCTTTCCTGGCCTCAGGTTTTCAACTAACTTGAAGTGGAGAGATTACACTGAATCAATTGCTGCATCTACTGCAAGGAAAGTTGGGTCACTGTGTCATACCAGAAAGTTTTTCGTGTCAGAGTCCATCTTGAACGATTCGTCCGTGTATTGAATACTGTTGTAATATCTGGTCTGCTGATCCTGTTATTCATCTCCAGTTTCTTAACAAAATCCGAAGAATCTGCAATATAATAGATCCTGACTTGTCATCTCAGTTTCGTTTACTGCCTCACCGACGTGACGTGTTTTCCCTCTGACTTTTTAACAAATATTTTCATGGCTTTTGAACTGACGAGTTTTTTTTTTCCTGGTGTTCAAACTAAATGAATTTACTGATGTTTTACTAGTTTGGCATATATATTTGGATTTTTTATTGTTGAAATAATTCAATGTAACAGGCCTTCTACTACAAGAGTTAAATTTCTCGCACTTCTCGTTTGTGAAACGCCCTCCATTTATCTGCTTCCATGATAACTACAATATTCAAATATTTAAATGCCCCGTTAATCGCCATCTTCTTTCTTCTAGATTTGTTTATTTTGTTTTACGGCATATCAACCTCAATGGGTTATTTAATGCCGACAACATTTTTAGGATAGATTCGTATGAATAGAATATGTATTCTTTGGTTTAGATTGGTTTGGTTTATTTTGTTTTACGGCATATCAACCTCAATGGGTTATTTAATGCCGACAACATTTTAGGATAGATTCGTATGAATAGAATATATATATTCTTTGGTTTAGATTGATTTGGTTTATTTAGTTTTACGACACCAAACCTCAATGGGTTATTTAATGTGTGACAACATTTTTAGGATAGATTCGCCTGAATAGAATGGATATTCTTTGGTTTAGATTAGTTTATTTTTTTTTTTTTTTTGGCATATCAACCTCAATGGGTTATTTAATGCCGACAACATTTTTTAGGATAGATTCGTATGAATAGAATATGTATTCTTTGGTTTAGATTGGTTTATAGATTTTTATTTTTGTTTTACGGCATATCAACCTCAGTGGGTTATTTAATGCCTATAAAAATTTTTAGAGAAAAGATAGAATATGAATAGAATATGTATTCTTTGGTTTAGATTGGTTTGGTTTATTTTTTTACGACATATCAACCTCAATGGGTTATTTAATGCCGACAACATTTTTAGCATAGATTCGTATGAACATAATATGTATTCTTTGGTTTAGATTGTTTTGGTTTAATTTGTTTTACGGCATATCAACCTCAATGGGTTATTTAATGCTGACAAAATTTTCAATGCTTGTAAGATTTTGTTTTGTCAAAAACTTATTGCTGGTAATAATTTTTCTTTTTAAAAAAATGTGTTGCTGTAATCATTTTTTTTTTTTCAAAAAACTGTTGCTAGTTAATTTTTTTTCCTCAAAAATTTATAGTTGGTAATAGTTTTTTTTTTTTCTTAAAAAAATTATTGCTGGAAATAATTTTTTTACAAAGTATTTCTGGTATTGAAACCTGTTTTTACACTTTCATAGTGTTTTTACCCAGTTTCGGGGTTAACTATTTGCCCATAGCTAGGACCCTAAGAGGTGCTACCACCCCGGGTCATGGTGGACCTGGGAACACCATCAATTAAGAGGTGGTTCCACGCTCCTCAAAACCTCAGGATCAGAGACCTTGCTGCTGGACGTAGTCTATCGTCATACCCAGGACGGTATATATATACTTGAACCCCATTCATCTTTTATTCTTTCCCGACTCTCCCTATACCTAGTCTTTTCTCTCACTTTCACCTTCTGTAGCCCTCTGAGTACTAGCGGCACTCCCACCTTGCTTGGTGTGAAATGATTATAAATAAAAAAAGAGAATCAGAAGTCCTACCAGGATTCATTTGGTGGACACAATCTTAACATAAGATATACAGATGACACAGTGTTGATAGCAGACACAAAACTACAGGAACTACTACAGAATAAAAAAAGAGGAAAGCGAGAAGAAAGGACTAACTGTAATAAAGCATGATATTCAAAGATTCGAACTACGTATCGAAGCAAGTAGGAAAGGCAAAACTTTCTTTAATCCGGTATTATTCATAAATAATGACTTTTGAACGGAAAATACGACACTGAAATCCGAAGGCGCATTGGAATAGCGAAAGATGCCTTCCAAAAGCTAAGCAAAATATTAAGAAACAGGAAAATTTCTTTAGAAACAAAGAAAAGAATACTGAACTGTCATGTAATATCAG